CAGATATGCACCGGCACCCTCTCCTACATTCGGCTTCTTCTACTTCGTGTGAGATTAAAGGGAGCCTTGGAACCATGTGGCTTAGGAGCCATAAATTAGGATTTTGCGTTTAGGGGGGTTGGCTGTGGGTGAGGTACACCATTTTGCAGAGGGCCCCTTTGAACCCTAAACTCAAAACCCCCCTCAAGCCCCAACTTCCTAAGACTCAAATTACGAGTGCCTCCCCAACTTGGAGGTTCGGTGTAAGTACGGTTTTATAAGTCCCCTGACTCAAGCTCATAAGTATAGTTACCATGCTGAAATCCCTACTTGAAATTACACAGGAACCTCCAAGTAAGACTAGGCATTTCTGAGCTGTTCTCGGAACGCCTTCCAAAGCAATGATTTTGAAGGCCCCTGGGCCATAAGAAGACGCCAGATGTAGACCAAATGGTTTGGGGGTCTAAGGCAAGACAATGAGTATGCTCCTAACTACGGGAAGCCCTAAACCCTAAACCCCAAACCCAAAACCCGAAGCCCTAGACCCTAAACCCTAAACCCTCAACCTTTTTCATAGAACCCGAAGGCCCTAGACTCCAAACGAACACCCTAGACCACAAATCTTTGAACATAACCCTTTTCGAGCCAGGTCTCTCAGACACAACCCTGCAAGCCCTAAACCCTAAATAATTCAAAAAAAACCTGGTCAGAGCCCCTAAGTCCTTTCCATAACCTCCCAGTTATCGAACCTACGCCCCGAAAAAAAACAACCCTAAACCCTAACCCCCAAACCCTAAACCCCAAACTCAAACCCCAAACCCTACACCCCAAACCCCAACCCCAAACCCCAAACCCCAAACCCCAAACCCCAAACCCCAAACCCTGAACCCCAACCCTACACCCTAAACCCCAAACCCCAACCCCAAACCCCAAACCCCAAACCCTAAACACCAAACCCTACACCCTAAACCCTAAACCCCAAACCCCAAACCCCAAACCCTGAACCCCAACCCTAAACCCTAAACCCCAAACCCTAAACCCCAAACCCTAAACCCTAAACCCTAAACCCTAAACCCCAAACCCGAAACCCTAAACCCGAAACCCTAAACCCTAAACCCTAAACCCCAAACCCTAAACCCTAAACCCTAAACCCTGCTGGGCGCCCGGGCTGCCAGGGAACGACCATGGCAGGCCTCTGCCGCGTCACGAAGATCTTGACCACAGCAGCCCCCACCTCTCGAAAAGAGGGTTTAGGGTTTAGGGTTTAGGGTTTAGGGTTTAGGGTTTAGGGTTTAGGGTTTAGGGTTTAGGGTTTAGGGTATAGGAGTTCAAGTGATTAGACCCCTGAAGGATGTAAAGGGGTTTAGGGTTTGGGGCTTTAGGGCTTTAGGCTTTGTAAGGCCGAGGTTTCTGTGGGGTCAGGAGTACATTTTGGGGTGTACTTGGGGTTTAAGGCTCTAGGGTTTAGGGCTTTAGACGGCTTTAGAGGGTAGTTTGCAAGGCTTAGGGTTTTGTGGGGTGACTTTGCCCCTTCACTACAAAAGGGCTTTGGCGTTTCTAAGGTTCAGGGTTTTTCGGGTAATGAGACCCCTGAAGTAAGGGCGTTAGGGTGTCTCAGGTGTATAAGGCTTTGGGCACAAGAGCCCTTTACTTCGTGGGAGGAGACATGCCTAAGTTTATAGACTTCTAGGGTTCTGATGGGAAGGGGGTTCGAGGGACCCTAAACCCTAAAATAACACGGTATGGAGGTTCGGGCGCCGGGTTGGATTGATGCAGTTGCAAAGGCGTCCAAACCGCATCCCCTAAACCCTCACTCATTACCCTAAACCCTAGCCCTAAACCCCAAACCCTGAACCGCCAAGACTTCAGCAGCCAAGATTGTAGGGGTGCAGGGAAGTCCTCAGAAGACCACGCGGATTCACGGTTTAGGGGCTATCGGAGTCCACTGAGGGTCTGCAGGCCTTGTGACTATCCACCCGGTCAACTTCCACTTCGGGCATCAGCTCCTCTGTCTCAGCAGCTTTAAAAGGCTTAGTTCAGCTAAAGAGGGTTTAGGGTTTAGGGTTTAGGGTTTAGGGTTTAGGGTTTAGGGTCTAGGGTTTAGGGTTTAGGGGTTTAGGGGTTTAGGGGTTTAGGGTTTCGACTCTCACACTCGCGCACGGCGAGCAAGGCTCTCGGTTCGTTGGGGTCCGCATCTAGTGAGACTAGGCAACCATGTTCATCGCCTTTTTTCGGCAGTGGGCAGAGGCTCTCCCCAAGGGCTTAGGGGTTTACTTGGAACGCGAAGAAAGACGCATGCGGGGGGGGAGGCGGGGGGGACGGGGGGGGGGGGATAGGAAGGGCTAGACTCGGCGCGAAGGTTATACGAAGGCCGGGGGGGAAGGCACGAACCTGCGCAAACGCCGGAAACACTGCCCCTCCCCCACCCCCCGGTCCCATTGGTTTTGCCGTGATTTCTAGGTTCCAGATGATGAGTTGGTTTTAGGGTTTAGGGTTTAGGGTTTGGGGACTTCAGGTTGAGTTCTGTCTTCACCCTCCATGTGCTCATGGGGCACCGTCCTCATCCCCTGAGACTTATCGGGGTTTACGATAGTAAGGGTGCCCTTGTTGGGGTCCTTATAAGGGGTCCTACTATTTGGGGTCTATATATTAGGGGTCCCTTATTTTCGCAAACCCCCCTCATGTCCTCTGCACCCCCGTCAAGAACCCCTATACTGCCACTGAAAGAAAGCTTTCGGCCTAACACTTCATCCCTAGACTGCCCCAAACCCTAAACCCTAAACCCTAAACCCTAAACCCTAAACCCTAAACCCTAAACCCAAAGAGGAGGGCTTTGGGGGCTCTCTGGGATCCTTGAATTCAGTATCGTCCGTCTGCACGTCTGCTTCTGCCATGGGCGCAGAGACCTGCAGGATGCTTTCGCTTCAGGGCTTAGGGCTTAGGGTTTAGGGTTTAGGGTTTTTTTTCGCTCCCGCATAGCTGGCCGAACCGCAAGGCAGGGTGATGTCGATGAGAAGGGTTTAGGGTTTAGGGTTTAGGGTTTAGGGTTTGGGGTTTGGGGTTTGGGGTTTGGGGTTTGGGGTTTGGGGTTTAGGGGAATACACAAACTAGACCCAGGAGTAGCCTAGGAATCAAAAGAGTACCCTTGGCCCTCGAAAAGGGAACATTGGCCCACTTTGGGGTTTTGGGCTTTGCTCAGCATTCAGGGTCCAGGGCTTCATTCAGGGAGTAGGGTCTCTGAGCAAAATGCTCAATGACTTTCAATGCCTCAAGGGGAAGCCACAACCGACCGAATCTTTTAATGCTACGAGGGCGACTCCATTTCTAGATGCGTTCGGTCTGTTGATCCTGGAGCCCGGAGGTCTTATACTCAGGCAACCAGCACAGCAACATCCCAAGGCTGTTTAGATCAAGCGTTTTGAAAGGCTGGTGAAGCAGACTGCTTGCCGCAATGCCTGGGTTTTCAGCCGTGGCGGGAGCGTCTCCACCTGTCATGGCAGCCCTTGTCACACCAATACACCTGTAAACCAAAAAGCAGGAAACGCACCCGAAGCGTGACAGAACTTGTGTTTGAGCCTGAACTGGGAGAATGTACAGAAGTAGAGCTGCTAGACTAGGCTGGCCATCATTCCCCCTTATACTAACAGTCCTTAATCGGGATTTTACTACCCCTATTTTAATGCCTAAAAAGGACTGCTAGTATAAGGGGGAACATCCCAAGCCATCATCATGACGTGGTGACTCCAAAGGAAGGGTGGCACAGAACTTCGCCTGAACGCCCATCTCGTCGTCGCTGGCCTCGGCAACTTCTATCGCGATTCTTCAAGGCCTGCGTACCCTGTGTGCCCTCAAACCCTAAACCCTAAACCCTCTGTTGAAGTCGTACTCGGACCTCTAAACTCTCCGTTAGTGGGTTCTACAAATCATCTAGGCCATGCCAGATTGCCAATCTGCCTAAGGGACCATGCTCCGAAGTGGGACTCTACTCCGAGACGGCCTCTGTGAGCACACAAACTAGAGGATGCTTGCTTGAAGTCTGAAGGCGCTTGCTACGCAGCGTGCTCGAAGCCCGCAACCACCGAACTCTCCCCTTCCGCCCCGCCCCCGTGCGTTTGCCCGTGTCTGGAGGCCTCCAACCCCTAAACCCTGAACCCTAAACCCTAAACCGACAAACCTTCCCTTGCTTTTCACGGATGTCGGCGCCACAAAAGCGCTGCGGGCTTTCTGCCCGAGTTAGTCGGAAGTGCTACGTTGTCGCTTGGACCTCCCAAAACCAAACCCACATGTTGACAAAGGCTGCGGTGCACGTTCCCTTTCCCAGCCCCACTGTATCGACAGAGACATGACGCAACGATGCCAAGGAACCATGCTCTCAGGGGATGTAGATACAGTCTTTCTTGTCGAGCAGCCAGATGCCGTGTTCGGAATGTAGTGACGGTCTATTGTGTGAGGCTACACAGGCCCTGGAGCCTAGGTATTTGTCTTTCATCAGCTGTCCCACAAAAGGTAGAACTTCTTGTCTTTCATCAGCTGTCCCACAAAAGGTAGAACTTCTCGGCATGGAGCTGGAGAGTCTTAAGCCACAGAAGGGCATCGAATCATGCTTCTGCAAAGAGTATTCCCCGACTGGGAGTCCCGATGGCTCTGCATATCTTGTGGCTAATCCGTGAGACGGCGTCCCATGCCAACAGCATGCAGCAAACTGAGAGGCGTAAACAAATTGCATATACTCCTGCCCAATTGCCAGTCACAACCCTAAACGCTAAACGCTAAACCCTGAACTGCATGCGGCTGTACATGGACTTATAGAGACTGGCGAAGCATGTCGCCAGGCGCAGGCTTCTGTGGCCACGGGCGCCGAGAATGAGGCAAGCCCTGCGCTATGATACGCTGATGACCTGGAATGTTCCCCTTATACAAACAGTCCTGAATAGGGATTCTAGTACCCGCTTTCTTTCTTCCCTCTTTTGTTAGAACATCCCAAACAGCAGCCATCGTTCCCCAAAGTAACCCTTGGGAACCTACGACACGACTTCGACGGCTTCTGTCGTGTTCGGCGGCGATGGGTCACAGACGATGCTGGCCGCGTGCTCTGCAACCTGGCCAAGCATTGCACATCCCAGAGAGCCCAACAAACCTCTAAACTGAGGAATCTACCTTAAACCATAAAGGGATCCTTAGTATGATTTAAGGTATATTTCTTAATTAAGGGGGTATTGGGCTCTTTGGTGTAAGGTCCGGATAGTACGGTGAGAACACTGAGTCTCTGAATCCCGAAACTTACCTGGACGGACTCGGGCCCCGGAAAAACCCAACAAATACATCCCAAACATAAAAGCACAACTTGCCAATAATATGAAAAACCCGGGGGGATTCAACAGAAAGCCTCAATTTCCCAGATATGGTCTTGAATCACAGGGCTTCGGACATTCTGCAGCTTACCTCGCAGCTGTGAACCCGCGACCTGCGAATTAGCTTGACCCTGAGCCTTAAGTTCCAAAAAACACACTAAACCCGAAACCCAAAACCCAAAACCCTAAACCAATCTTTGGGGCCTCGTCGGGGAACGTCTCCTCGCGGAAACTCTGCTCTGCTGCAGAGTCCTGTAAAGGAAGAGATAGGTTTTTTGGACGTTTTCCTTGTGAATGCTGGCGGAAGCAATCGTGCAGGAACAGTGACTTTTGAAATGCTGGTCCCTGAGTCGAAGAATTCCAAAATCAACGGCGCTCCGTGATAGGGCCGCTTCTGTGCGAGAAGCAACTGTCATGAATGCGATGGCAACTTCCGGACAACGATGCGACAACTCCGATATGGTGCCTGGCTCAGCGTGCAAACAAATAAAACCCGTCGAGTGCGGCTCGTGTTCTGTGTTGCGACAAAGGGCAATGCTTGCAAATACCATTTCGACTTCCAAGGTTTGAATGAAACTTGATGGGCACTACTTCTCTGCTTTTTCTGAATTTCAGGTCTCGGGGACACGTAAAGACAATACTTCTCCGGTTTACAAGGTTGCCGCTGGGCCGCTGGGTTGGGAGGGTACATGATGAGTCTCTTGTTATGTCGAGCAGAGACACGTAAGCAATGCTTCCGTACACCGCCCGGTGTTCGGGGTTTCGGTTTGGTTTTAGGATGAAGGTGGGTTATTTAGTTATGTGTTTGTGATTGATTTATACAAGTGTGTGTCTCCAGCATGCAAACTGTCCCCGCTGCACATCCTGATCCAACTCGGCGAGCGCTTCCAGTAGAATCTTCAGCTTCCTCAAGAAGACTGCGTGCCAAGTTTTGAAAGATGCACTGAATGATACGAATAATGCTCATATTCATAACCATCCTGATAAGCATCTAACCATGGCGACACTAGCAGCACCACCATCACAACCACTCCGGTAATGCTACTGATACTGCTACGGCGACTACATACGAATTTGACGAAGACTATTCCCACAACTTCCACTACCACCAACACCAACACAACTACAACTACTACGACTACTGCATCTACTACTACTACTACTACTACTACTACTACTACTACCACTACTACTACTCCTACTACTACTACTACTACTACTACTACTACTACTACTACTACTACTACTACGACTACGACTACTACTACGACTACGACTACGACTACGACTACTACTACTCCTACTACTCCTACTACTACTCCTCCTACTCCTACTACTACTCATACTCCTACTCCTACTACTACTAGTACTACAACAACGACGACTACTACTACTACTACTTCTTCTTCTTCTGTTACTACTACTACTACGACGACGACTACTACTACTACTACCACTACTACTACTACTACTACTACTACTACTACTACTACTACTACTCCTACTCCTACTCCTACTCCTACTACTACTACTACTACTACGACTACTACTACTACTACTACTACTTCTACTACTACTACTACTACTACTACTACTACTACTACTACTACTGCTTCTACTACTCCTACTACTCCTACTACTCCTACCGCTCCTACTACTCCTACCACTCCTGCTACTCCTATTACTCCTACTCCGACTCCTCCGGTTCCTGCTCTGGCTACTGCTTCTGCTGTACGACGACGACGACGACGACCGCGACCACGACGACGACGACCACCACCACTACCGCTGCCTCCACCACTACCTGGCACGTGGAGAAGTAACCCTAGGTTGTCTTGCCCCTTTGTTGGTTCTTCTTGCTTTCTCCCGCCCCCGAAAACCGGTAAATAGATTTGCGTTCCTTGTCTTTCTCAAATATTCTTGGCTTGGCTTGCTTGTCCTTTTTCTTGGGAGGGAGGGCTGGGGGCTGGCGGTGATCTTTTCTCATTCTTGTTTGACTTGTTTGACTTCGACTGCATAGATCTTCAACAAGACTCGGTTTACACAATAGATCTTTGAATGGACTCGAAAACGAGAACCTTTGAAATGACTCTAGCTGACTTTTATTGATGTCGGAGCACCAAGACTACACAAAAAAAACTCTCTCTCTCTCTCTATCTCATCCCGACTTTTTCCACTACATAGTTTTAATGTTTCTCTCTTTGTTTCTTCTTTCTCTCTCTCTCTCTTTCTCTTTTCATTCTCTCTTCTCTCTCGTTCTCTCTTGTGTTTGTCTCTTCTGTCTCTCTCTCTCTCTCTTTCATATCTCTCTTAAGTCATTCTCATCTCTTTTTCATCGACCTCTCTCTTTTTGTCATTTTGTTATTCCTCTCTCGCTCTCGTCCTCTATCTCCCACTTTCTCCACTCGTCTGCACTTTTGAGCCGTGAACGTTAAACCAAGCTTACAAAGCCTTGAACAAGAAACCAAGCTTGACACAATCACGACAGTCACGAGGATGGCTCCACCCACGTGCCGCATCCTCGTGACTGTCTGCAATTTTGAGCCATGAAAAACAAACATCAACAAACCAAGCATTAAAAGTCACGGCAATCCCAGGATGGCACCGCCTGCGTGCCTCATCCTCGTGCTTGTCTGCACTAAAAGCCACGATACAGTCAAAGAGCAATAGCAGTTGCTAGGATGGCACTCCTCCAAGACCCATGAGCGGCCTCACCGACACTTTTTGAGGCATGCAGAGACCAAAGCCAGGCCAAAACGCCGGGTTTCCGCAGACACAGCTCGATGCGCACGGCGGGGGCAATGCCAAATCACGCCACACAAACTCCCAAACCCCTGGAACCCACCTCTTACAACGGGGAACCCTCTGCTACGCATTCGGGAAAAGGAAAATTCTCGAACTGGCCCTGGCAACTCGGGAGCCCCATTTCACAAAACTAGTGGCCTGCACAGTACAACAGACACGCGCGTCTCAGAAAAAGTGGGAAGGAACAACTAGCTGTGACGACGACTATGACGTCTACCGTCTATACCGTCTTCGACGACGGGGACGACGACGATGACGACGACTGCCACTGCTGCTACCAGTAGTGTTAGATTAGTAGTAGTAGTAGTAGTAGTAGTAGTAGTAGTAGTAGTAGTAGTAGTAGTAGTAGTAGTAGTAGTAGTAGCTGGCTGTATCAGGCAAATTGCCGGCAAGCTGAGCGGAGCATGCCACTCCTAGACTCCTACACAACGGGCCGTAGCACCAGGATTATGTTCTAAGAATTTTCTGGGGTTTAGCTACCTTGGACACGACACAACATAGCCCTTAGGAAACTATGGGTTTCCTCCTTTGAAAATCAGCCAGGGCGCTCGTCCCGGAACTCGGCCAACCGGGAGAGACGCTCACCTGTTGTGACGGTTTAGGGTTTAGGGTTTAGGGTTTAGGGTCTAGGGCTTAGGGTCTCTCTCTTTCTCTCTCACGCCCTTCCCTCTCCTCAATGCATGTTACCGGTGTAATCTAGCTCCGCGCCGTGCACCTCGAAAAACTTACATGATGGATATGCTGGATCTTTCCCATTGGGATCATACCCTGACATTGCAGTACTAGATTCATCCCCATAGAGGCCTGTTTAGAACTGCTGGACGGCAAAGCAACTCTTGTCGGGTTCAAACCCTAAACCCTAAACCCTAAACCCTAAACCCTAAACCCTAAACCCCAATTGCCCCGAAGGAGATTTCTTTAAACAAGGCCCCCCGGCCGTGCGCGCGCATCTGCACCAAGTCGGCCGTGACGTGCTCGATCTGCCCCTGACAGTAGGTTTAGGGTTTAGGGTTTAGGGTTTAGGGTTTAGGGTTTAGGGTTCCTGGCCGATACCCCTAAACCCTAAACCCCCAAATCTATAGACCCTTCTTTCAACACACTTTCTCAGTCCGCACCGCCTCGATCCACCTCACAAGGTTCAGGCGTGTATCCTTTCACACGGGAACTCACAACCCCTAAAACGGGGAACAAGGGGGAGAAGCAGGTCGAAAAACATTTCGGTGTAGGGTTTAGGGCTCCTTCTTCGTACCCAAGAGATCTTAAGGTTGCAAGGGGGCATGCGCAGATTCCGGAAAGGATCTCAACTAGTTCTTACTAGACCTTTAGTTTAATCCTAAACCCTAAACCCTAAACCCTAAACCCTAAACCCTGAACCCTAAAGGACCAAAGGCCGGCGCCTTGGATTCGTGCTGTGGCCTTTTGGAGTTCACGGCCGCGGCCAGCTCTTCGTAACCTGCAGGGTGCGAAGGGAGATGGCTTCTTAATTAAGCAATATTCCTTAAACCACATAGGGATCCTTAGTATGATTTAAGGAATATTCCTTAATTGAGGGGTATTGGGCTCTCTGGGTACCCGCAAGAGCCGCATCTTTGCTGCCAGGGATGCTAGCAGTATGCCGATAAGAATGAGAAGAGGGGAGTTCAGGGTTTCGGGTTGCTCGGCTACCCCTTCCTACTCCCCTTCAGCTCCCCAAGCGCCCGAGGACCTCAGGCGCTTCGACCGGTCCCAAAACACCGGCCTACATAGCGCTTGCGCTTGATCTGCCCCTTCTGCAATACCTGAAAGCATCCAGAAATGGTTTGAGAAAGGTCAGGGGCGGAAGTTGTAGGAATGCGTGGGGGTTCTGGGGGTGAAGTGAACACTAACCTGAACCCTAAAACCCTAAAACCCTAAGACCCTAAGACCCTAAAACCCTAAAACCCTAAAACCCTAAACCCCTAAAACCCTAAAACCCTAAAACCCTAAAACCCTAAAACCCTAAAACCCTAAAACCCTAGAACCCCTAAAACCCTAAACCCCAAAACCCTAGAACCATAAAACCCTAAACCCCTAAAACCCTAAAACCCTCGACAGCAAACCCATGATCCTCCCAGCGGCTGGAGTCGGCCTTTGACTGTCTGAGTGCTGTCTGCCCTAAACCCTGCTTCGGAGTAGACCCTGAAAAGAAAGATATACTAGGGTTTAGGGTTTAGGGTTTAGGGTTTAGGGTTTAAGGTTTAGGGTTGCTTATTAGGTAGAAGTAGTATCTATACTAGGTTTCCAGAAGCCCCATACCCCACTTTGGAGTAGACCCTGGAAAACATGTACTTCTTAGCAGCTGAAAGTATCTATAAGAGGCTTCCGTAACCAAAAAAAAGTGTTCAAGTATAGTAGTCCAAAAACCAGTAAATCATCAGTAAGAACCGATCTTTAAACCCTGTTCAAGCCAGAAAGGGGGACATATAACAAAATTCCAGGTTACTCTATTTGCCCACAGTTCAGTACTAAGCACCCCTCAATCAATAATTTCAACCCATGAAACTTTAAACCCTTAAGCCCTAAGTAAGCACTAAACCGCACACTGTAGTTAAAGAGAATTGCAGGAAGGGTCTGCCCTCGGCAGAAACCCCATGGCACCTTGCAAAGACGTGCTGAGCCCTAAGCCCTAAACACTAAGCACGAACCCTGGGAGGGCCTTGCGCTGACCATCAAGCTGCCTCTCTTCTCCTTCGGCGTCCTGGTGGGGTCATTTAGTTCGGCTAAGGGTTTAGGGTTTAGGGTCCAGGGTTTTTGAATTTGTAGGGTTTAGGGTTTAGGCCTGGGGGACGAACTCGGACGAACAATGGGCATCGTTTTGCATCTGCACACTGCGCGTTGGCATGCCCTCTGCTCTCTTGGGCCGTGCCCTGCTGGGCCATGACAGAACATCTCCGCGAGCGATCGAAGACAAACATTGACTCTGAAGGGGTATAGGGAGGGACCCCCCTAGAAGGGACTCTTAATCTTGTTCCCCTATACAACCCCTAAACATATATATATATATATATACATACATTTCAATCATATATATATATATATACCTCATAAAGTCCCTACAGACCTAAGTAGTCCCTAAATGAGGGACCCTCCCTTAGTCCCCTGAAACAAAGGATCTCGAGGGCTGCATGCTTAGAGTCTGCTTGGATGTTCTCCAAGAGGGGTGTAGCAATAGGTTTCCTGCTCTGCAGTGTTCGGCCGGCGAGCCATCCCTACACTTTAAACCCTAAACCTTAACAATGGAGCTGCTGGATGCCTGTGCAGTATGAACTACATCCGGCACGGATCTTAAAGCAGGAAAGCGAAAGTAGTCTTATAGCTAAACCTCCTCCATTCACAAGCAAGCGCAAGCAGTCCGTCGAGGGATTGGATGATTGATGGACGTTCCTGCGGAGTCCTCTTGGGAGTCTCTTCGCAAGACGCGAGACTTAAGATACACAATTCCGGACCCCCTCTGGCCCTGGCCCATACTCACCGACGTAACGCTCAGGGCGGAATTGGTGAGAGCCGACACTGAGAGAGAGGGAGATCTAGATGTTCCACAGCTCTTGCCCATCGTGAAACATGCGAACTTGACGAAGTGTTTCGCCCAAGGTTTCTACTGTTTGTCTTGACCAGGCACGGATGTCATCCGGCCTCTCCTTAACGGAGAGGCAGATCATGTGCATAAGCCTCATCGTAATCGCCTGCGGCAAACGGCATTGAGGCAGCTTTCCATTCGCTGCCAAAAGCGCGCTCCACTCCGTAGCATTCACGTCCGAAGGCCGCAGGCTGGCCGTTGGCAGTAGGCCCGAGTACACAAAGCTCAGGCAAAACCTATAGTTCATGGTTGGGATAACGTTACAAATAGTTTGTTTCTTATTCCTTGTGGGGTTTTGGTACCCTTAAACAAATGTAAAATGGTACCCAACTATGACAAAGAAACAGTCCGGCGGCCAGCTTCTTGTGGCTCAGCATTGGAAAGCACATCACCACGGCGCGTGCAAGCAGCAAAGCCTGTTCATGCATCTGCCGGAGAGGCGCCTGGAACTCCCAGCCCGCCAATCCGAAGCGAGTGAAGAAGAGAAAGCACCACTTCTCCATGCTGGACACTTCCACCTGCCAGTCGAGTGCCTTCAAGACCTTCTCCTCATGCGTCAGGAGCGCCTGGTTGGACACCTTTGAAGTCGCCAAGTTCTGCGTCGAGTCCAGCCAGGTCGCAAAGTCTTTGAGCACCATGCTGGGGTCTTCTTCATCTGCACCCTTGGGCACGCGGGAGGCGCACTTCAAGACAAGCCTCGTCAAGTACACGCAGGTCAGCGGCATCTCTTCTAAGCGGAAGAAGCTGCTTGCCGTCACGCGATCGAGAAGGAGGGCCGCCTTGAACCAGGTTTTCTCAGCAGCAAGGCCTTTTTCCTGAAGCATTCGCCACATGCAACGCAGGGCCTTGGTGCGGATGGACCTGTCGAGGTTGCCTGACGTCGGCTTGTGCACCATTTCATCAAACACTTTGAGCTTGGTGAGCGTGTCGGAGGAGGCACCCAGACGAAACAATTCGTCCTCCACCTCCTCTGAAGTGATCATCGGCTCGTACTGGGTATCGACCTCCTCTGAGGTTTTTTGACAATTGAGCATGGGCACGTGCTAACCTTTTACAAGCGCCCTGAGTGGAAGAATGCTCTTGATCCAAAAGAGCTTCAGCAGTAGGTGACATCTTTGAAGGGGTGCCCGGGGACATCTTGCAAAGCGCTCGGCAAGACAAGCGAACGTGAGCACTGATGTCATCCATTGACCATGGAGCTCAGATCTACGGAGTCAGCTGCCTCCCTGTTTGAGGAGGTTCAGGTCCTTCCGAAAGCGAGAGCGCATAGCTTCCAGATCAGCAAGCTCCCGCTGACGTCGGTGCTCCTCTGGCACAGCTGAGTCTGAGTGTGCGCTGTAGGTTCACCCAAAGGGGCAGCCTTACAAAACTGACACGTCCCAGTCACTAAGCTTTCATTGCTCTCCGACTCGGGCAAGCACCCACAAGAAGCCGAACAGAAAACCTGCAAGCCAACCACTCGAAATTCATGGGTAGACAGAAGTAGGGCTAGCCTCCAAGTTAGCGTATTGCTGCAAGAGGATCCAAAGCAAGAAGCTAGCTGATGGCTGGCATTGCCTTTCCCCTTTGTTTGAGACTTTGACTGTGCAGCGCACACTTGCGTTTGAAAGTTCTGAGAGGCACTTCCCAGCACTTTCTTCCACTTTCTCACGACACCCCCGACTTGAACGAGACGTGGGACAGCCTCCTCCCATCCCCTCTCCTCCCGGAAAACCCAGGCAGAGAGGGGCCTTGCAGGACCTCAAGTCATACCGGGGCCTTGAACGGTAAAGACCCCTAAACCCTAAACCCTAAACCCTAAACGGGTAAAGACTGCACACAGTCCTGAGGGGCCCAACGAACCTTAAGAGAGTGTATGGTTTACATACCTCAACAGGAATTATAGTGGTATAGGGTATATGACCCCCCCCCCCCCCAATTCTAGAGTTCATTTGGTTTCCAGGGACCTCTAAACTCTAAACCCTAAACCCTAAACCCCAAACCCTAAACTCTAAACCCTAAACTCTAAACCCAAAACCCTAGACTAAACCCTAAAACAAAACCCTAAACCCTCTAAGCCCTCAACAAATTTACCCCAAAACGCCATAACCCCAGCGAGAGGACCTCGATCTCCCAAGCGCGGATGTACTGCATCTCATACTTCACCAAGCAGCGCCTCGTTGGGGTTTAGGGTTTAGGGTTTGGGGTTTAGGGTTTAGGGTTTGGGGTTTAGTGTTTGGGGTTTAGGGTTTCGGGTTTAGGGTTGCATCCACATGGCGGTTTAGATTCAGAGTTCCCAGACCATGTGCTCACAGCCAAGGTGCGTTTTATAAGGCTTCGGGTCATCTAAGGGTTGAGGTATATACTTGGAGGATCGTGGGTCGTTTCAAGTAGGGTGAGAAGTATGCTAACTGCTAGCTGTACTTATAACCCTATTTGGGATACTTATAACCTTACGTATAGCTACCCATGAACCTCCAAGATAGGGTTTAGGGGTCAGGGTTTGCCTGAAACCCAAAGCCCCATTAATTCCACTGAGCTGAGCCTTTAAAAGGGCGCCCTATACCCTAAACCGGCTCCCAGCACGCAGGTCCAAGCAAAAGCCTACTCATCGCCATGAGTTCATTTGCAGACATGACCCCTGCACACCAGATGCGAAGTAATTAATTATGGGTACCAAAGACCCTATGGGTTGGGGTCAGAAACGGCTGTAGAAGGTTGGGGTTTTCGAGGTTTAGTTTAGTTCCTGCCTGGAACCCCAAAGTATGCTTAAACAAATTGCCCAAGGCCCAGAAAGAAACAGTGCCATTATTTTGAATCCTTTGAGGTTTAGGTATACCCTAAATCAGAACAAGGTTCCCTGTGTGGTTTAAGGTATATTCCTCAACCCTAAACCCCAAAAGCCACGAAACCGCCCCCCCCCCCCCCCCCCCCCCCCTCCCCCCCCCCAGAAAACTGCCCCATCCCGGCCACCCCCGCATCCCGAGAAAGCACAGGGGGCCTGCTCGGAAAATGGCTTGCACCCTGACCCGAAAACATCCAACAAAAATCTAAACCTAAACCTTGGCATGTTCCCCCTTATTCTAACAGTCCTTAAGAGGGACTAGAATCGGGGACATCCCCAACCGAACCCCCCCACCCCCCGAAAAAAAGAAACAAAAAACACACAAAACGCTCAAAGCCCTAAGACCCCGAAAGACCGTAAACCTCGACAAGCTCATTCTCTCACCCCCCCGGTGTTCTCGCAGGTTTCGGATCAGACCATCAGATATTCGAGCCGGCCTTCTGAAACCCCTTTTTGGCTGAAACGCTTCCATCCGGGCTGAAACCCTAGCCTGAGTAGTAGCCCTAAACCCTAAACCCTAAACCCCAAAAGCCATAAACCCGGAACCCTAAGCCCATGTTCTGGGTTTCTGGAGCTTCGGCTTTGTTTCACGCTTGAGCACTTTTCACAGCCACGGTAACCCGCGTCCATAGAAGGCAGAAGCACGATAGCTATGAGTGGCCAGCGGCTGGATGTCTGCTATCTTCCTGACGCAGTCATGCTCATCCAACTTCTGGAAATCTCCTTGGCGCAGATGCAGGGCTGTTTTTTTGTTGGTGCTTCATGCCCAGAAGCCCCACCGCACCATATGTGTGTATATATATATATATCGTGTATACATATAAATAAATATAAAAATGAATATATATATATATGTATGTATGTATGTAAGTAAAGACAATAAACAAACATAAACATACATGTATGTATGTATATGTGTGTGTATTGTTTGAAAGCAAAAACTTTTCGTTATACACACCACCACCAGCAGCAGCAGCGACATACCTAGACACATGGGAAGGTTTGGGATTCCTACGGGTTACCGTGTCCCTAAACCTTAAACCTTAAACCCTAAACCCTAAACCCTTTTCCCAAAGACTTCGCCCGCCTCGATAACATCCCCTCTGAGCCAAGGCCGCCCTGCAAGCCCCCCCGTACTCGTGACAGCAAGGCCCCCAATCCCCCTGCACTCTTGACAGAAGGACTAGAGCAGGCGACTCAGCTTCTCGGCCCACGTTTCAGGAATGACACTATAGAGTATGAGAAAATTGAAAGATCTAAAGGTACTCTCATGAAACCGAACTAGCTCACTATAGAAGCACTGTTGCATCCAATCTTGCAGATGAACGTCAATCACAAGGCCCTCAAATTCCAACTGAATCCAAAGCAGCCAAATCTGTAAAACCTCTTGGATCTGTCCCAATCTTGCAACCCGTACTCCTCATCAATCCACATGACCGTCCACCCAGCTGATGCCACACACACATGAACTGCTAGGCGCCATGGAGTGTGAAGCCTCACTGTATCTCTCCAATTCGAAGCCGTTGCGGGGTTGAAAATTGGGTGGTGATATGCTAAACCCTAAACCCTGAACCCTAAACCCTAAACCTACCTGCTTGTCTCAAAGTGTCGGAGCAAGGCCATGGAGTGGCGAGCCACATCTTTCAGCTTGTCCTCCTGCGCCTGTTAGCCGGGGCTGAGGGTTTAGGGTTTAGGCCAGTTTAGGGTGTAGGGATTAGGGTTTAGGGTTTACAGTTTAGGGTCTAGGCTTTCTGCAAGAAATCTCCGCAGCAGCAGGCTAAGGGTTTAGGGGCAAGGGTGTAGGGTTTAGGCTTTAGGGTTCTGGTTTAGGCTTTAGGGTTAGTGTTTAGGGCTTAGGGTTTCGGATGCGTTGTGGTTTGAGGTTTGGTGCTTAAACAAAGAAAGCCCACACTGTCAGGAATACAAAAAGAAGACCGGCACAGGCAGGATGATCTACCCGATATTTACCCCTAAACCCTAAACCCTAAACCCTAAAACCTAAACCCTAAACCCTCAACCCTAAACCCTAAACCCTCGGGCATCCTTGCCACCAGGCATCGCTTCTTTATCTACGCCATCCTCCTGAACCCTAAGCCCTAAACCCTTTTTGCAACGGGCTTTCTGTCACCGCCCGGCTGTCCCTAAACCCTAAACCCTAAACCCTAAACCCTAAACCCTAAACCCTAAACCCTACTGTGGTCCCTGTTCGAGCACCCGGAATATCAACTCCCATATGGCCGCTTCTCTAAATCATGGTCCCTTTTGGCTACTTAAAGCGGCCCCGAATACTCCGGGTACCCAAAAAGGGGCCATAATTTTGAGAGCTGACCATATCCCTAACCCCTAAACCCTAAACCCTACCCTAAACCCTACAGGGACCTGACCTGGAGAACTGCTCTTTCACTGCCGTCCAACCTCGTACTTGGCTTGTGCGATCTGCGTCACCACCTGGTGAACTGCATCAGGGATTTACTTGCAGGTTCATTTGGTTAGTTATATGTAGGGTCAAAGGTATGACAAGTCTAATTTTCATCCTCATTAGGGTACCTAATAACCCTACTTAGCCGCCGTCACAACCTCGTTCTGTCAGGAGGTGGCCCTTACTGTACTCACAATAGTGAAGGGACTGAAAGTGAAGTGGTACTCCCTAAACCCTAAACCCTAAACCCTAACCCTTACTATGGCCTCTTATGACTTGTGACTCGGGGGCTCTCTTAGCATAGGTCAAACACGCCGGCTTGTTGCCTCAAACTGCTTTCACTGGCATTACAAGGCCGATATCGCTACACCCTAAACCCTAACCCAAAACCCCAAGGCCGACAGTTGGACCTTCTATCCTCAAAACTTGGGATGTTCCCCCTTGTACTAACAGTCCTGAAAAGGGATTACAATAGCGGGGTACTACCACCCCAATTAAGGACTGTAAGTATAAGGGGGAACGTCCCAACTCAAAACCCATACTTGGAGGTTCAGGGTAGTTAGAAGTAGGGCTCTAAGTATGGAAGCTATACTTTAAACTCACTAACGTAGAACGAACTACCCATGAACCTCCAAGTACAGCCCCCAAACCCTAAACCAAACCCCTAAACCCCTAAACCCCTAAACCCCTAAACCCCTAACCCCCTAAACCCCTAAACCCCTAAACCCCTAAACCCCCCAGACCCCTAAACCCCTAAACCCCTCAACCCCTAAACCCCTAAACCCCTAAAC